CTTTTTTTTTTCAATCATTTAATGTGTATTCAGCAGTAGAGCTATGACACATGACCGGTGCTATGTATACATGTGGGATGACTCTTTTGGCGTTAGAGACACTCATACTCTGGATTTCATTCGCAAATACTACTATGAGGTATGTTTGCTTACACAAACAGTCGACCCTCCTCCGTTAGTACCCACCAAAGGGAATTTCAAAACCTTTGGTTATCCAAGCATGCCTTCGTCATCCATGCATACCAGCGCCGCGAGAGATGTGGTTGTGTTTTGCCGGATTTGAACCAGCGATCTACTGTCTCAAGTGGGATATGTGTCCAAGCTATCCAGACTCTACTTGGCAGACCGGCCAAGACGATGTACCACCACACCATCCAACCATGGCGGTGTTTATAGTGTCGCCTGCACTCTCCCAGCCGAAGTCTTGGCACGCACAAAGCTCAATTTGTAAAAACTCCTTGCCAAAATTCAAAATTCCACGCCCGTTGAGACTGTATCTATCCTTTGCATCATCTTGTGAACTTGTCCTGAATCCTCTCACGTCCATCCCAAAGAACAGTCTCCAAGATTTGTGCGCCATGCTTTGCTTCCTCCGTCGGGTATAAATATCGGCGCGAGCGTGTATTTGGTGGTCAACTGAGGCCAGAGAAAGTCGACAAGAGGTGTGATCATTGGAATAACGATATACAAGGTCGTGCTTGTAGACTTGATGAAGCTTAGGTAGGATTCGATCTTTTTTGGAATGAAAATTTGATGGGGTGGAGTTATTTGAATCATTGCCTCGTGGGCCAACTTGTTCGGTATTGCGAAATTCGACTGAACTTGGCTCTGGGAGAATATTTCACTCCCAGGTTCGTAGAGAGCACCACTGACAGGTGTTCAGTCTTGCCCTCCGAGGCTGGGCCTGAAATATAGCCCAGCCTAATCGAACGGGGCACAGCCCGTAACAGGATCCCGGAAAATAATTTTGCCAATATGCTGCGCAGCGTTCCTTGCTGATTTTACCATCAATTTGACATCGTGAATCCAATTTTTATGCCTTCATTACCCTCCTCCCGACATTTCGCTTTCGGTGATTCCACATGGTATGTTTGGATGCTGGAGTGGGAAATCCAGCAGTTTCAACGCGTCGCATATAACGATAATGGCCTCCAAAAACAGCAGCGGAGCGCAGAAAGCTCCAAAGAATGAGAGCTTTGAATTACAAGGGAAGCTTTTAAAACAGGTCAGACTGATCGTGATGGGCGAGATGGATGAGGAAGACTAACCATCAATGGAGGATGTCAACGAAGCCGTAAAGGCTTTTAATTGCCACAAGAAGGCCTGGGCAGCGATGTCCCAGATACCGTCTCGAATCGAGGAAAGGATAATGGCACTAGAGGGGGTAGTCAAGAGGGACATCGGGGATCCCGCTCGCAATGCTGCACCAGAAGTGGCAACGGAGATGCCGCAACCAAGGATCTACGCGTCGGTCGTACCTCCACGAATGACGAAAATAGCGGTGCGTATCAGAATCGATGGAGCGGAAGAATTGCAGCCTGAAGACCTGCCATCAAATGCGAAACAACGCATTCATGGAGCATTTGTAATTTGCCAGATGCGAAGCAACGACACTGAGTTGTTCGTCCAGTCGGCGTCCCAGAGAGAAGCAGCGCTGAATATGCGACAACCAGCCGACTTTCAAATTTTGCGTCAAGACTTTCCCACCGAGGCTTTCGGTGTCCTACTGCGGACATGAATCGAAGGCGGTAGAGACGCTAACAAACACGAAATTATTAGGGTGATTGAGGCAGCGACTGGGGCACGGATTCCGGGCCTGGAAATAAACAGAATAAGATGTCTACACGATGGAAAGGAGCATCAGCGGTCAAAGAAAATTGGCCGCAACAGAGGATCAGTTGTGGTCAGCCTCCCATCGGAGGGAATGCAGACGAAAGTGGTTCGATACGGCCTGGTCATCAAGGCCATGCTCTTCACCGCGCAAGTGTAGTCATCACGGGCTCAATCAAAGCAGTGCCTAAACTGCAGCCAGTGTGGATACACAAACGGTCGTGTGGAAAGGCAGCTAGGTGCGATGAGTTTGCAGGCGCTCACAAAATGCGGGACTGTCCGGAAAAAAGGGTTTGTTGTGCAAGTTGTGACAAGGAGCACCGTTCGTGGCAAAATGCAGCTTGTTGGACTTGCCAAGTCTACGAGGGAAGTGTAGAGAAGGCTCGGATGGAGCTGCTATCTAGAACGGCAGAAATATAGGATGAGAACCCCAAAACGGAGCCAAAGCGAACAGTCGGAACGACTGATAATCAAGGATTGACTGTGGTCGCCAGCAAGAAGACTGAACGGCTAAAAAGAGGGCCGGGACGACATCGCAAGGTAGTCGAAGCTCCAGCGACACCACCATTGGGGCCAACCCTTCGAACGCTTCAACGTCCAACGCCAAGTGAGGAGGTCTCTTCTCTAGCCGATTTGTCATGGGTTTAGTCCGATCAAAGAGGGAGTCAATGACATTTGTGGAAAGTTTACAAAATAATTGACGAAAGGCACTTCATGGGCATGGAGCTGGGTCGGTTCAAAGTGGCAGGACATCGGGTTCTGTTTGTCTAAAGCTTTTTCCCCATCCAAAACAGCTTACCGTCTTGTCTTGTCTTGTCTTGTCTTGTTCATTTACGTGCTAGGTAAAGTGATTCCCGTTGCATTCCTACTGGAGCTTAAACACGGGTGGGGCCGGGCTGGATCAGGTTAACTATCATTAAGTACATCTACCTCGTCCCGCCTAAATGACCGGACCACCTCAGACTTCACCCATGTGTTGAATCATGTCAAGCCCAACCGTCCAGAGAACCCCCTTTTGGCGCGCCGAAGCGCAAATTCCTCCTCAGCCTCGGCCACCACGCACCCGAGCCCTTGACACCTCCGCGATCTGTAACTTTTCCCTTCGCTTCATTCCCAGCTTTTGCTCATCTCAGCATCTCCTCATCTCATCCAGGGGTCGTTTTCTTCACTAAAGGCCTCATCCAGTCGCCCACCAAGGCCTCCTCAGTTTGTATTCCCTTTTGATTCCTTCATGCAGCATCCCTCTGTCCTTCAGTCAATCTCGTCATCCCAGAAACTTTGTAGAATGTCCACCCCTCCGGCCTTGCCCTGTCGCTGCCGTACCCCTAACCGTGGAGGTCGAAAACGCGACTGAGAGCTCAAGACCAAGGCACCGGTGCCCCAGCCTTTGTCGAAAGCTCGGGTTGATGTGCCGGCGAAGTGTCGTACGTATTTCGTCGGTGGCGATTCGTCGCAGGTCGAGTTGTTGGTGCCCTTGTCCGAGGTGAGGACGTATTTAAGGCCGGTATTTCGACCGTACCTTCACAGCGGCTGGCAGTTGCGGAGGGTCGGACATCTTCTTGCTTCTTTGATGGCGATTTGGCTTTTGAAGGTATGAGATTGCTTAGGTAGGTGGTGAGATGATTGTTGAGAGGGCCGCGACATGAGTTTGGCTAGGAATTATTTTCCAGAGAAAAAGAAAATAAGATGTTGAAGGTGTCGGTTTTTGTAATACGAACATCAGACAGGTTATAGCCTGTCTGCGGTTCGTATCTGGGGTGTAGATGGTTGATTTTGTTGAGTTGTGCATTCGTGAAATCTCTGCAAGACGGATTTTCGACCAAAGATGTGCCAACACCACTCCTCCTGATCGCCAACTCGACGAAAACTCTCAAATCCATCCCTTGTCGTGACTGAATCTCGGCTTTTGGAGAATATTTCATTCCCTGGTTCGTAGAGGACATCACTGACAGGTTTTCAGCCATCGTCCTCCCAAAAAAAACAGCTCACCGTCTTCATGGTTCTGTAAATAGATACCGCATAGGACCTTAAGCAAGAAAAATGGATACGTAACGGGATTCTCGTTAGCTCCTAAGATTTATCGGACGGTCTCTCCTTCATAACAAGTTAATTTTTTAAAGATGAGCTTCGCCAAAACCGTCAAATCTATTAATCTTTAATTTATAACAACTGTACAAAAGGGCTTGTCCCTTAATATCTATAAGAACAGACTTTGGCATATTTCAAAATAAAAATTTTCAAATGTAATTAGAATCTTTAGTTAGATTCACAAAGTCCTCTACAGTCTTAGACTTAGTAGGGACTATAATAAAAATCTAATCCAATCTAACAACTGTACTGGTGAGATTTCTTGATGGATGCAGATGACACAAATCTGAATGGTAATAGGAAATCTTCATTCAGCTGACTAAGTAACAATTAGGAATCCCCAGCTCGACAGTCCTCACCATAACATCTGCAAGTTGGTGGGAGACACAACTGAAATGTGATGTAATTTTGTCTCATCAATCATTATTCTAACAATTTCACGAGTTGCGAAACCGTGTGGTCCTAGTGAAAGAAATGAAGAGAGGCTGGATGTTACATGATCTTCACAATGCGAATTGAAGAACTTCGTTATTCTATTTGCATGTCACGATGCTAAGTAGGACGTGTTTAACTGCGTTGAATAATCGACTATCACTACATTACATTCTGCCCAGAAACATTCCGTGGCATTTCTACTCTATTCCATTCCATTCCTATATTACCCAATTTTTTCTATTCCTTGGAGACTTGGTCCAATAATTGGCGATGGTTGGTGCTCTGCCGGAACTGCACAGTCTTATATCAGTATTGCCGTTGCACCAATACGATTGCAATACTAATGCGACAAATTAACCTTTGCTGACGGCCTGCGATTGATCAGTCAATCAAACATCATTATGACAATGAGTAGAGCGGCCTATGTTGGAAACCACTTACGTTATCAAGAGTTTACTAATACTACAGAATTGTGTCAAATGATAATTGTCATACTCGAGTTCTGTAATTTCTGTCTTACGAACTACTGCTCTCTGTATCACAGAATCAATATCAATACCGAGCTTTTTGATTAACATCAATATCAAAGCTTCACCTAGGTTGCTTTACCCCGTCGTGTGGGCTATGATTAGGTTGAGGATAGAAATTTAAGAAAATATAACATACATTGTCAGCAATTCTATGGCCTCGTTGAAGGCCTCCATGGTAGCTTTGTATAGGGCATTATTGTCCTTGTGAGATCCGATAAAGAATTCCCCGTACGGCAAGAATAAAATCTTTCTGAATTCCATGGCGAGGTCCCAAATACTTTGAAACTTTAACGAGAATTTGGGCAACAATTGTTGAACGAAATGAGAACTTTCCATTTCAGTTTTCTTGAAGTCAAATATCTCATAAGCTGTCCCCTTATACCATTTTGAAAGGTATTCTTTGTTCGGATTTTTACCATCTTCCCATCCACAGCTTAAGCATTGCCACAGGAGGATATAAAAAAATGACTCGAGGTCATGGCGGTATGAATGCTCCACAACGACGCCTGTGCTTTCACAACTACCATTCAAAATCTCTAGTGCCATGAACTCCATCGTCCCGGTCATAGCCTGTCTCTTCTCTTGAGATTTGCCATCTGTAAGCAAGACGGCTAGGTCCAGGTCAATGACGTATCCTTTCCAGTCTTTACAAGCTTCAGTTCCAGTCATGATGATATTGTTCGCAGAGATATCACGGTGTAATATTTTCGCTTTCGTCATCAATGACCAATGGGCCTTGATGGCATCACGCAGTACGGTGACCAGCTCAAGTGGTGATTCCACCTTGTGTAGCGATCTTCCGTAAGGTGATGTTGCGACAGCCGATGAATGACGATCTCGTATCTCTGCGAACTTGACTTCTACTTCAGTGTAGGCGCCAACCTCATCAGTTTCAACCTCTAAATCACCTTCTCCATCTATAAAAGATATAATGGCGGCGTTTACGTCCTTAACAGGAACCGTACTTATTGCAGAATCGTCAACAGAAGATGCTTCCTCTTCTCTACTCGATAGAAGCAGTCTCTTGATCCGTCCGTTGACTTCATCATTCTCCGTGCTCTTCCGTTTCTCCCCAGTAGGCTCTGCGTTTCCTCTTAGTGAACTTTCTGTCTTATTGAGCATCCAATTTGCTGGGACGGAAGGTTCTTCTTCTTCGATGATTGCGTTTAACGACACGGTTGGTATTACTTCAGTTTGGGTATTTCTAGTGAAAGATGCTTGATGGTTGTTAGTAAAATATTCGACATCATCTTTACTGATTCACTTACATCCATGTGAAGTCTTTGATCTCTTACTAGATCGACCGGTTTCAGTTCCAGAATCGCTTGTCGCACTTTTTCGCTTTCGTGTCCCAGCAATACTTGTGCTCTTGCTTTCGCGAAGCATTATACCATCGGTGAATGAGAGCGGTGTGGCCATGGATATGTCGTCTGGAAATGTATTTTTCACCATTTTATTAGTGAAAATTAGATCCTTTCGAAGATCGCTAATTTTTACGAAATCACGCGATCCCATAGGATTTGCCATGCCATCCACGTCTTTCGCAAGTTTCAGCAGCTCGGCTTCCGAATGATCCCCGCACATTCTCCAAGAGAACTTGACTGCACAGTCTCCTTCCAAAGTGTGGTAGCAGCTAGTTCCCCTGGAGACAAGTGAAGTCTGTTGTGCAACTGGTTTGGGAGAGAGTTTGAACTCACGCTCTTTCTCCGGTCCGTCCACGTCCAGGGTGACAGTGATCTGATGGGCCTCGTACTTGATATTAGGGTCGAGACCGAGTTCAGCGTCGCTCATTGACATGTATGCCGCCATAACGTAAACAAGCGTCTGCGGCGATTTGCCAATATCAATGTACGAGCCACAGTACGGCCCTGATCTATCATAGACCCAGAGCAGAAGTGACTTTTTGAAAAGATGGAATGCGTGAGCAAACCGTCGAAGGGGCTGAGCAAAAAAGAGCTCGCGCATTAATACTGAAAGTTGTAGGAACTTATCCATGAACACAGTCTGTGTGGATTCTGTAAACTCTCCCACCACGAGTACGTCACGCCAGTGGTGTCTATTAGAAGCCGGTAGTCCTCGTCGTTTGATAAAGTAATCAACCTGTCGAGCTGTCTGACCACCATCGAATTCGCTGGCTTTGGTAGTTCGAAACTGGGTTTTGTTGAGATGTTGTACATCTCCTTCGGAAGTTGAACTCGATTTCGTTTTCGAGATGACACAAGTCTTGCTGGATGACTCGAATATTTTCTTTTCCACAGCCTTCATCCAGTCCCAAACTGATTTTTCCGTGGGTGTTTCTGGGAACTTCAAATCGTCCTCCGCAGATCGCTTCATGAATTCCTTTGCTAGGCCAATACATTTGTCCTCCCACAATTTATTTGTAAAGTACTTTTTCCAGAACCCTTGCACATTTATGTAAACCGAACCATGGAGCTCCCTGCGAAGCAATATTTTTAAACGTTCCATGGTCTGTTCTGTACAAGCTTGAGTTGTACCAGCACGCCTGAAAATTGATTTGGCCGCTACATTCTCCACCTTTTTCTCTTGGGATGCGAAAATTGACTCAAGCGTACCAACAAGCTGCACAAGGGATTTCCAGATCTCGGTATCTGTCGCGTCTGTTAGAATTAGTGACGCCAGGGGCTCGAATGGGGCCAAGTCAAATGGTGTTGACTCAATCCGATAAGCTATCGTAGTAAGTCGGGAGTTGATGTTATTCGCGTTGCTTGGGAACAATTGTGCGCGGTTGACATATGTTGAAAAGCCGTCTATCAAGTTTCTTACAGGATTTAGGTATTTCCTCGTATTTTTGGGTTTGGCAAACACTGTATCGCATGTGGCATAAAAATTTGCATGATATCCGTCATGGAAGGTGTCCAAAATCTGTTCCAATGGATGTTTCGCAAGGTATCTCTCCATTTTGGTAGAAAGTGACATGATTTCCTGTAGGTGAAGGTTTGAGTTTGGGAATGAAACCGAGAATAATGATGATGTTGGTGACAGAATGCTTTGTCTGTCTCGAGTAGTAAAAGCTAGGTGGTTTTATATATCTTGACAATCTTTCATTGTAGTGCATTCTCTTTACCAAACTGTGCGAGTGACTAAGACATATTACTATTTTAAGCTTTTCCCAATGTCAAGGTTCATAGACCTTACCATTATTATTCCCTTCATGGATCAGCTATGTCGAGATAGCATTTATATCAGATGGTTGGTATCGAGGTCCCAACTTGAATTATTTCCACTTATGCAAGACAAACATCTAGGTGTTCCGCGCATACTAATCCCTCTATCGCATGAAGTTCGAGATAGTTCGTTGATGACGCGTCACATTGAGTCTTACGAACGATAGGATTTGAACCAAAATTATTCCTGCGATAAGACTGTGTCTGACTTTCGGTATGATATCAAACCTCTGTAATTGTCATTCGTGCATATTACTGACCGCCCTTTTTCGTTCATCAACATCTTAGAAATACCTGTGGCCAATCTCTAACTTCGGTGACGAGTTCGCAAATGGATGTGTTCTAGAATCCCGTTTCAAGTTATCCTTAAATACTAACCTTCAGGTGTGCAGACGCTTCCCTTAGCGTCATTTGGCTTCTAGTCAGCAACTTACTGAGAATTCGCATCCAATGAAATTTGAAGGCTAATCATGACAAGCCAAATCATATCCTTGTGTGGACAAAAATAATAAGTACAACGAAAATAAACGAATGACAAGTCAGATATGATGTTGATTTCATTCAGCCCAATTTGGCGCCCTACTGACTCATGCAGGTGTCTACGAGCTCCAGATTTTACACAAGAGGAAACCTTCGTGGTAGAAACGACCTCAAATTTTCAATTTGTCTACACTTTAATGTCGTCTTACCTTTGTGAAGAGATCTAACACTGTTATTTCCAGTGCTGATACTGTCCATTTCCATGCTACCGGCAGGAGATCATCTTTCCTCCACTCTCCTCTCTCTCCCTATCGTGGCTTCGACTTCAAGCATTAGTTGAAACTGTTCAAGGCGTCCTTCTTGCCGAACCCATCTAGTTATCCTTGCGATGCCTTCTGGATGTTCATCATGGCCTCGAATGATGGGATCTCTACTTTTCTCGGAATTTCTTTTTCTTCTTTGACCCAGTCGGTGCAGGCCATGATCATGTGCTTGGAATTCTAGGACGGATATCCACATTGGCCTTGTGGGCTGCCTACTCCGGAAACATGTCTTGTGAATAGATAAGGGTTGGACTCAATATTCTCACTTCCGATCTGCATGACTATGCTACTTTGGGTCCTGTTTAGGTTCAACGACAGGTTTAATACTACTATAAACACAGCATTCCATCTTAAACAGATAAGGCTTACAATGGTGCCGGGGTAATCGCTCTGTATGCTCTGCATATTTGGGATAGTCAAGAAGAATCGTACTCGAATCGAAGTCGAAAGCAGCCTCAAGGATATCTCAATTTGACGACTTCTCAATCATGCAGTACCTTCCATTATCCACTGAGTCCTCAACCTCTTTCTAACCACATATCATCTTGTTGTGCTGGTGATGCCTAGGATTAAGATGCACAAGGGTAATAATCACTGAGGGTGAAGGAAGAGCTTTCCAGGTGGCTACATGATGAGTAGAGGATCAATGGAGCACGGTATAGAAAGTATTTCCAGATTGTACTACCAGATGGAGGAGACAAGAATATTCCGTGATACTATTTTGGGTAAACATGGTGAGATTCTAGCAACCTCAGATGTGTATATAATTAGCGCTTTATAACTCCGAAATCCTCATAGTTCTGAATATCAAATATATCAGCAATTCATATTGATTCAACGAGAATCATCCGTAAACCTTCTGCCAATTAACCTCCGTAAGCTCTTACCTTCACAACAGGTTATGAGCCCGGAGCACCATCCGCTGCACAACTCTGACTGATCCCGACAATAAAGCCAATCATGTCTCTCCAAGTCGCACGTATAGTCGTCCACCAATACGGAGTCTCCTTCTCTAATTGGGGAGGAGACCTCGCCGCTGCCTTATCATCCACCGATGTCCTCGCGAATGTCTTCCATAATATCAAAGGCATCGACCCGGAAATTGAACCATCGCAACCAAAAGCGGTCAAACGAGAAGGAGCTACAAAGGACGAACTAGCCAAGTATGAAACGGCCAAGAAGGAGTACAAGGTAAAAATACAAGCTTGGATAAAAGGCGAATTTCAAGCCGTAAATATAATCATACAACGCCTAGATGATACCAAGAAGCCCCTAACCTACCACAGATATAACGCTAAGCAGCTATATGACATGATAGCATCATCAAATGAAGTCGCCGACCTACTACCACACTCAGAAACTTTCAACATCTTTCTAGCCACAAAATTCACCACAACTGCTGAAGACTACTGTACAAGGTTTCTACAAGCTCTTCAAATTGACAATAATGCAGCAGACTCCTTGACAGGTGGAAACGTCTCAGCACACAGGTATAAGGTTACTGATACATTAGCTTCTGTGTTCTTTGTAAGGGGCACTAATCAAATCGTTTGATTGGATATCTGGAGGGAGACCAAGGCGGTAAGTATGTCCCAGTGCGCTCCACTCAGATCTATGGTCACATCATTGAGAGCGACCGCGGGCACAAAGAAACTTGCCGCCGGGTGTTACAGGCTGGAGTCTTGTATGTGGATCCGGAACTATCCGGCTCCGGCTATGAACAAATGTGCGCTAGTGTCACGGGTAAACGCGCTCGATGGTAACAAAACATCTTGCGCGCGCGTCGTAGATATTCTCCTCATTAGATAAAATATAAATTCATTTTTGGACCCAAAATTGTCAACAACAAATGTGAAGTCCCTTCCCACCGGGGGCTACATGTCATCGATACAAGAGTTATTCTACAAACCATATGCAGCTGCCTCCACTAATAATGTCGAATATAATCCAAATGATTGGTGCAGGAGATGTAAGTAAAAGCACAGGATAAAGACTGCTATAAACTACATTCACAAAAAGCACAATCAAGACAATCGACCAAGAAGGCAGTGGGAGTGGAAGATGAGGAATCTCCGACTCCCAATAGCAGAGGTAAAGGATTCTCCATGGTAATAAATAACAGCTCGCCATTCGACAGTAACAACGAAGGCCAAATCTTCATTATCGCATAATTTCTATCTCACTATCACTCGAGCAGGGCATCAAAGAGCAAACAGTCGTCCCATCACAAAACACCACCAATCACCCACAGTCGTTCAGTAGTCACTCATCTCAGTTCTATTCCTACAATCACCGTCATAAAAGCGCCACTTAACCAGTCAACTAACGTCATCAAACCCACAACAAATGGATTGAGTAATCCAACAATTATGGAAACTCACCATCAGGGCGATTTTTAAATCTCACCTGGGTGAACAGGGCCTATAGAATTTGGCCGCCATCACCAGGAAGGCTGTTGTACCAGTTCATGAGCTCATCTGCACTAGCCTCACCTCACATACAATGGTAAGTAACCATCAGGGGCAGTGTTGTGCTGGCTCGGTTGAGTTGTTAGGAGATGGGGGAACGGAGAATGAGCTGCTGGATTAGGAAAGGGTGGAAAATAAAGGCTGGTGCACAGACGCTGTTTATGAACTCTACAATCTCTTCACCTGCCGAATTTAGTGAATCAATCTATCCAAATAATATCATGCCTCACATCATCCATTAGATGATATTATCGATCGTCGGGATTCATCTAGCATCGCCTTCATAGATCATTATCGACTTTGAACTTGTTGTCAACTTGGTATATGTACGTCTGTTATCATAGACATTGGAAATAATTCTTGAGATTGCTTAATGAGAGGCTAGATTTGATTCTGACACTAATATTGTTGAAGACTTGTCCCAACTATCAGAGGGCTACAACGTCTTTATCTATCTACAGATAAATTCTCCATATTCCAACCACGCCAGCCATACAAGACGTAGCATGCAAAACTTGATTCGTCTAATCATTTTGGGGTTGAGGTTTACCGTGCATATGCTACTCGAGTCGCATGTCTGACTACTATGCGACACGCTCAGATCACCATTGTCAGTAAGATTTCACATTTGATACCTACTGACACCCATTTGGCCACAGTCATACGCACTCAGTGTCCATTGTGCCATCATCCAGCCTGAACACGCCGTCTCCGCGACTCACCACTTATTATGATTGGTATATGATTTGGGAATGTACACTTGCGCTGGAACAGATAAGATAGTTTGTAGAGAGTTATCTTCATTAGTGTGCTGAAGTGAAGTTCTATGATAATTATTATATTACAGATTGGAGGAAGCTCGTCCCATATCCCCTAGCTTGTTCGCCTGTAGATCAATCACGTTACCAGTGTGCTGCTCACCAAAGTTTGCAACCAACTGAGTAGTCATGCCAATTGTCCTATATCAACAACCCATCTCTCATACTGCACACATTACTACATGTAATGTCGTTGTGTAGAGACTGGATCTCCTCCATGCGCCATAATGACATGCTACCATAATAACTACCTGTGCACCAGCTACTAGATCTACCATACTTCATCGCTGAGCATAACACCATTGCACCTGGGCCCGTGCCACTCCACCAACGGACAGCAGGGTCATAATTGCCATATACCTCATAGCCCATAACCACAACACCCCGTGACACTATTTCTCCCTTTCTACTTACACAAGAGGCCAATTCGATTCAATCTACCATCGCTGCATCTGGTTCTGTTTATCCTCCGGAAATCTATCGGATGGTTTCACCTCCATGATCGAGAAGAGTGGGTAAAGAGAGGGACTCATACCCTATCATTTGATCTGATTATGGTAACCTTCATTATAATGGTAGTATGGAGTTTTGCTGACATATTAAGACGATACAAACCAAAGAAGCCTTTGGGAATCGTCCTCTAGGTAAGGAATAAGGTGTTGCTCCATCTCGTCTCTGCAGGCTCTATAGTGAGGGCTGGAGGCTCATAGTAAACATCAACAACAAGCGCTGAGATCTCGTGCACATCGGCCTGTCTAATCTGCCCAAGCTTGCACACTCCATAGCGATATTTTGGAATGAAATGTAGCCTATAGGTGATTCTAGAGTCAAAAGAGTCATGAAACACGTACAAATTTTACTGACCATCTGCCACGGCTCAACAGCCGAAGACACATTGATCGATTAGAAGAGAAGGAAATAACCCGAAAAAGTCATACTACAAAAGGTGAGAATGATAAATTCTTCCCACTAACATTAGGACCACGCAAATTCTATTACGTTAACAAAATCTGTTGTGCATGCTGGACTTGGCCAGATCGTGACGTGGCTATTGGAGTGACGCCTCTATAATGAAGCTTACGTATTCTACAATATGAGTTGAATAAATACTGTCTACGAAGGCCACGCATGGAATCTTGTGGTATCTAATCACTTCCATGCCGGACGTCCGTAATCCGATAATAAATTGCGCTACGTAGAGCTCCTCGAAGCCTTACTAGTGGGAGTAAAAGACCTTTACGACTTCGTCCACTAACTCCCTATTATATAGGTCACTATTGCCATCTCACGCAAATACAATAGCCTTTTATTTAGCTATGATGGCCACTAGTTTTCAAGCCCCTTTAAATTTTGTGATACCTTACACAACTACCTCGAAGACTTAATTTCATTATAGCTTTGTGCGATGCATTGGAAGTGCTAGCCTTTTCCTAGCGGCCCCTGAAATCGTCATTAATGGGAACCGTATGTTTGTATGATGCAGGCCGGATTAGGGATCAGTAAAATCAATATTTCGATGTCAAGCGGCTGCCTGCAATGCTCTTTGAGTAATTGGAACAAAATTTGATTGTTAGAATTGGTCCACGAAATAAACCTTGAATAACTCCATATTTCTAGAAGATGGTGTAGTTGCTTCTAGCCCATGAAAACCTTGACACATTTTATCACAAGCCAACAGTGGTCTTATTAGACCACGTTCTGTTCGGGATTTTCCCGGCTAGTAAAATTATAATTGTCAGTAACTCCCAATCAGCAGGTAACAGCGCTTCCATATAGTTTTCAGTGAATCTCACCTTCAATCTGTCCGATAGTTTTATTAAATGCTTTAATCGTTTCATTGTATAAGAAATCATGGTAGTGTAAATACTCAATTGGCTTTCTATTCATTCCAAACACTAATTCTTGTAGCTCCTTGGCCAACTCTATGGTATCAACAAAACTGCTGGAAAACCTTTTGTTGATCAAGTCCTTGAAATTTTCATTAACGTCAATTCTTTTGTTCTCAATGTTTTCATCTATTTTATTGTTGCACCACGATTCCAAATCCATTCTTGGAAGATCCGGGTCACGTCCATATTCTACGCATCCTGTTAGGAACACATAGAAAAATGATTCCAGATCATCATCATAGCTACGTTTAAAGGGTTCATGCCCTCTATATCTAGGTGTCGTGGCGGCATGCAACGCTCCGAGCGCCATGAATTTTATTGTACCTACCGGACGTCGTATCAGGTATGGTAGATCACTGTCGTATAGCGCAAGTGAATGGTCAAGGTCTATTAACATCCCTCTTGATCTGTCATCTTCTGTTGGTGTTACTATGATGATGTTACTATCAGAGATATCGCTATGGATAATTTGTTTCTCAATGAACAGACTCTTGTGCGCCAGTATTGCATCTCGTAAGACAATAAGAAATTGCAATACTGATGTACAAGATTGAAGGGGACGTCCATAGGGTGAAAGAACGAATCTACGTAGAATGTATGCGTTGTCTACAGAAAATACAATCGATTCTCCTTCTTCAGCGAATTGATATTTTTCTCTTTCTTCCGTATCATGAAAGGTATCAGAAGTGTCGGAGTCATTTAACAATTGCTTTTTTGGTCTTAGGTGCCATCTGCTAGGGCTCAAGGCTTTTAAATTTTCCCAATGATCAGTATAGCTATGAATTATATCTGATGCCACCAAATTGACCACACCCTTGAGCGGGAGGGCTTCTTTCAGTAAGTCAGCTTCTGATTCTCCTATATCCTCGTGCCACGAGTATTTGACCAAGTATTTATCGTCAACCGATCTATAGCAGGTGGTACCACGTGAAACCAGTCTGCGTGTCTTGATCAGTGGCTTAGGGTCAATCTCAATCTCTTTAGTCTCTCCAGACTCATCTTCAACAATTTTAATCATGGAACGTCCGTCGACTTGGCGAATTGTTATATCGAGACCCAACTCTTTGTCACTCATAAGTAAATAAGAGGAGATTGCACGAACCAAGGCCTGCTCATCATTTTCAATGCTAATATAGCCCGAGCTATATGCTCCTGTTCGATCTATCATCCAGAATTCAATTTCCTTGTCGAACAAGCAGAATCCGTGCACAAAACGACGAAGTGGCTGTGCGTAAAATATTTGCCGAACGTAAGTCGCCAATTGGATAAACCTCACTTTTCGTCTACTTCTTGAAGGTTTTTCAGAAAGCCCAGCCACCACCCTCACTTGGCTCCAATTATCAAGCTGAAATGGCTTGCCCATTGCTTTGATATGGAAATCAAGCTGACCCTGGGCCTCATCTCCTTTCCATCTTCCCACAGTTGTCGAAAGACAGATCTGTCCACGTAGTGGGAGATCAGTTTCTTTTCTGATAATGGTAGGAAAATGCTCCGATGGCAACGATGGGGATTCCAAAAGCTGACTCAAAAATAGATTGTTAAATGAAGCTATCCAGTCCCACACCCCTTGCTCTGCCAAGTTGAAACGGAAATTTTCGGGGTTAGTGTCATTTTTGTAATTTCTATAGCTCTTCCAAATTCGCATTGTTTGACCGGACCACGCTTTTCCTTCAAAAAATGTTCGCCAAAACACTGAAATTTTAATATATGACTTTCTGCCAAGTTCCTTCTCGATCTGTTTTGTAGGATCTTCGGGAAGATGTTGATAGCACTGCGCAGCTAAATTTGAGCTATGATTTGGTGAGGATGGAACATGTTGGAAAGGAACTGGTGGAAGTAGGTTGCATGATAGAGTTCCAACAAGATTAATACATGTTTGGAAGATGAAAGTATCCTCAAAGTCCTGTTCAATAGAGTAAACTAGGTGATTAAAGATAGATAGATCAGTTCTCTCATCCAAAAGATATCTTGTAACAATATAAAACGGTATGAATGGTAATTTTTCATCTTTACGACAAAACCCTCCACTGTATTCCTCCAAGTTATGAAAAAGTCCGGTGAGAGCTGATTAATTAGCTGGGCCCTCATTAGTTTGTAGTTGTAAATTACCTCCTGAAAGATCATCCCTTTGCCCATACTCATGTCGGAAGCGGTCGAGAATTTCACGCATTGGATTCTCAGCAAGGTGCGCGATAAGTGCCGAGTGTTGAGACATGTCGTGTTATTGCAGATTGAATTGTAACAACTTGAAATCATAAAATCATGGAATCATGTATGAATTTTGTTAGCTACTCATCTATGAGACTGCGAGTGAATTGTTATCTCAAGAAGTCACATGGCGAATGGTTACGAGGCAATTTCTCCTTCTTGTACTACAGATTACATAGCACAACCCCTACTACTTCCCATATGCGAAAGACTGGGAGGGGTCCAGCACTTGCATGTCTTGGGCTAACAAACGGGAGCCTCATAGTCTAATTTGCTGCAGCAAACGCGATGCAAGCTCTCCGAGTATGCTGGATTAGAATGGTTTTATTTTAGTCCTATCCGAGTCTGTGGTAATGGAGGACTTCCAGATTCTACATGAAAGAAATTATGTTTAATTTATTCGACCATTATAACTTTCAATTTTTTCTCTTATAAAGTAAGGAAGACGACGTTGGAACTTACCCCGCATCTGTTGGAACAGTCAGAGAATTACTCCAGACCCACTCACCGACACTCTCCCGTTACCCGGGGACGCCAAGGAAAGGTCATCCCTACAAACTTTTAGCGCCGTACGCTGAGAATAGCTTCAAAGCCGTGTAAAAATTGGCTTGCATCACGCTACTCATCAGATCTTAATTTCTTCTCGAAAGAGTCCTTCTAGACAACCAAGTTGGAACTTGATACATGTGTTATGGGCTTAAGGATACCAGGATAGGCTCCCTGGACGAGGTTTGGAGACCAACTAAGTAATGTCGATCTTATTATTATTATTAATTCAGTTTATTTTCCTATCTTAGTCTATGACTATGTAGGACATTCAGGTCCCATCTGCCTACAAGCCAAGGATACCAATACCAGTAGTATATCCCCTCCTATGCCTCCCACACAGCTCCCCTCAAACAGTACCGCCCCTCACAAGTCCTCATTCGATCTTACACTTAGAGGAGCCCTTTGCCCTTCATTATCTTCCCCCTCCAGCCAAAAAAACGATGGTCATTTGCGGGTGTATGGCAGCCGGGAAAAATCGCAAAAACCACTTGATGCGGGGCTCTTCTAATATCAACGTTAGAACTAAATCCGAAGACGTAGTGACCCTTCTGAAGCGTGCGAAGAGGCCAGCCAGGTGGGCGCTGCAGACTTGTGGATACCTCGGAAAATTCACCCTCTGCCTTCCTAGCCTCCTTCCAGCTCCTTCCCGAAGGTCGTGCTGAAATGTCAGAAAAGCCTTGACAGAGCGTGATTGCTGTACAGTAGCTTAGCCCAACTTCTTTTGTGCCGTTGACTCACCGTCAAAAGAAGCCCTCCTGGCTAATTAGCCGAAATCTTGGTTTTGGCGCCCACAAAAAATCCAAAGTTGATAACTTCTCGAAATATCAGTCTCAGCATGCTCTCAAGAGACCTCTTTCCCCTCTCGCTCCACATCTCAGGCGCCTGTTCTCCCTCAATTTATTTGTCCCGTTAGAACGACAGACCCCCATAGGCCAAGGCCCAGGCTTTGTATTTTTCGACTTGATTTCCTTCTTGCGGATATTAATAGCGTTGTAAATATGTAGTGAGAGATGGCCGGAAATGAATGGGGCACGCTCCTGTTTGCAATTGGAGCAACTTCTTTATTGGTCGTTGAGGCGAGATGATGCGTGGTTAGAGAGAGGTTGAGGACTCAGAGGATGTTGGTAAGTACTGCATGATTGAGAAGTCGTCAAATGGAGATATGCTTGAGGTTGCTTTCGACTTCGATTGGGATGCGATTCTTCTTGGCTATCCCAGATATGCAAAGCATATTGAGCGATAACACTGGAGGGCAAGACTGAACACCTGTACGCGGTGTCCTCTACGAACCTGGGAGTGGAATATCCTCCCAGAGCCAAGTTCAGTCAAATTTCGCAATATCAAAGAAATTGGCCCACGAGGCAAAAATCCAAACTACTCCACTATGCCAATCTTTTACTCCCAAAGAGTCCGATTCTCAACTAAGCTTCATCAAGTCACAAGTACGACCTAGTACATCCTCATCCCAGTGACCATACCTCTCGTGGACTTTCTCTGGCCTCGACCACCAAATACATGCCCACGCCGATATTTAGACCCGGCGGAGGAAGCAAAGCGTGGAGCACAAATCTGGGAGATAGCTTTTAGGGATGGACGTGAGAGTGATTAGGACAAGTTCACAAGATGATGCAAAGGAAGGATACAAACTCGACGGGCGTATCATTTTGAATTTTGGCAAGAGTTTTACGAATTGAGGCTTATTCACGCCAAGACTTCGCTTGCGAGAGTGCAGCTAACACTATAAAAACAAGCAAACGATGGAAGTTGCCGTAGTCCACCTCCTGGTGATGTTCTCTGGTAAAGTGTGACGGGCTTTGCCCGGACTGGGACTGGTCACTAGGACCACTCCGTCTCTAAGGTAAGGTAGTGGCAGAGCAACGCCCCTGGATAGACTAAAGGGGAGCTAAGGAAGATAGCCGGGAGAAAGGATGATTCTCAGGGAGCTAAGGAAGATAGCCGGGAGAAAGGATGATTCTCAGGGAGCTAAGGAAGATAGCCGGGAGAAAGGATGATTCTCAGGGAGCTAAGGAAGATAGCCGGGAGAAAGGAGTATTCTCATATGGCCAAAGGGGGGAGTTAACACTAGCGTACGCGGAAGACATAAAAGGCAGGATACGATACAGTAGTTTAGCTTCCCAAGGAAAAATAATTAATTCCTATTGAGTCAACGACTTTCAAGTACTTCCGAATTCCTTGGACCTTTTACATAAAGTTTGAGTAGTATGGGCACCTACTACACTTGGGAAGGAGACATCTCAGATTAGATTTCGCGTGGAGAAAAGTTGATGGATGACGGAGGCATGTCTGGATAACTCAGGGTTTTTGAGATGTTCCCCTGGGTGGGTATTCATGGATGAGGGTTGACTTGGGGTGAAGAAAAAGCCACCATGACTTCGCAGTGGTAATTGCAAATGAAATCCAAGGCATGAGTGCTCTTCCTTTACGTTGAATCATCTATTCTATACCTTTCTTTGATATTGTGTCAAAGCTAGATAGCTGCATACGCAATTAAAATCTGATGCAATAAAAAAAAGAGCGATAACACCGGCCCCACTGGAAGGTGAAGAATTCGTCTCTGCCGGAATAGTCGATCTTAGATAACACTAATATTACCCCTGTAAACCTTTTTTTTTGCATCAGATTTTAATTGCGTATACAGCTATCTAGCTATGACACAGTATCAAAGAAAAGTACAGAAAAGATGACTCAATTTACAATAGAGTCACTCATGCCTCGGATTTCATTTGCAAGTACCACTGCGAAGTTATGGTGGCTTTTTCTTCACCCCAATTCGACCCCCCTCCGTAAGTACCCACCAAAGAGAACTTCAAAATATTTGGTTATCCTAGCGTAGCTTCGTCATCCATGCATACCAGCGCCGCGAGAGATGTGGTTGTGTTTTGCCGGATTTGAACCAGCGATCTACTGTCTCGAGCGTGATATGTGTCCAGACTATCCAGAATCTACTTGGCAGACTGGCCAAGACGATGTACCACCGCACCATCCAACCATGGCGGTGTTTATACTGTCGCCTGCACTCTCGAAACCGAAGTCTTGGCACGCACAAAGCTCAATTTGTAAAAACTCCTTGCCAAAATTCAGAATTTCACGCCCGTCGAGTTTATATTCATTCATTGCATCATCTTGTAAACATGTCCTGATCCCTCTCACCTCCATCCCAAAGAACTGTCTCCCAGATTTGTGCGCCACGCTTTGCTTCCTCAGTCGGGTGTAAATATCGGCGTGGGCGTGTATTTGGTGACTAGCTGAGGCCAGAGAAAGTCGACGAGAGGTGTGATTATTGGAATGAGGATGTTCTTGTCGTACTTGTAGACTTGATGGGACTAAGATAGGAAGCGAACTCGTTGAGAGTGAAAAATTGACGTGGCGGAGTAATTTGAATCATTGCCTCGTGGGCCAACTTTTTCGGTATTGCAAAATTTGACTGAACTTGGCTCTGGGAGAATATCTCCTTCCCAGGTTCGTAGAGGACACCGCGCACAGGTGTTCAGTCTTGCCCTCCAGCATTCGGGTATGTGTGTGTGTGTGTTTTTATTGTACTACTTAAGTCATAGACTATCTAGCACATTGGGCTCCTCTCTGACCCAGGCCACACCTTGTACAGTGCTACTTGCCTCATTTGTTACTTGAAAGATCATTTATATATTGCCCTTGGTGAATAGTGTCGATTGACCTAATGACTTAATGACCTTTCATGTATTCTCTTAGAAATAATGACTAATTATGTTGATGAGTAATGACTTACCTGTTTAGGAATAGCGTCATGAGAGAGTGATAACTGCTTTAAATACGTGATAGCTGGAAGGCTTGGAGAATGAAGATAAATGTTGAGCACCAATTGTTATTAATGTTACAGAAAGCTTGTGA